GCAGATGCTCAAGTCAGGAGTTCAAACCAGCCTGAGCAAGAGCAGACCCCGTCTCTACTATAAATAGAAAGAAATTAATTGGCCAACTGATATATATATAAAAAAAAAAATTAGCCGGCATGGTGGCGCATGCCTGTAGTCCCAGCTACTCGGAGGCTGAGGCAGAAGGATTGCTCGAGCCCCGGAGTTTGAGGTTGCTGTGAGCTAGGCTGACGCCACGGCACTCACTCTAGCCTGGGCAACAAGCGAGACTCTGTCTCAAAAAAAAAAAAAAAATAAGAAAAACTATCCAGGTGTGACATCTACCTATGGTGCCAGCTACTCAGGAGGCTGAGGCAGGAGACTGCCTGAGCCTAAGAGTTCAAGGTTACAGTGTGCTATGGTTGTACACTGCACTCCAGCCTGGGTGACAGAGCATCTAGACTCTGTATTAAGCCCGCCTCGGCCTCCCAAGAGCTAGGATTACAGGCGTGAGCCACCGCGCCCGGCCTTTTTCTTAATTTTATAGAGACAGAGGCTCACTATGGTTGGTCTCAAACTCCTGGCCTCAAGTGATCCTCCCACCATATCCTTCCAAAGTGCTGAGATAATGGGTGTGAGCCATTGCACCCAACCAGAAATATAACTTCTGTTATGGAACAAAACATGGTTAAAGTAACACTTTGTACCAGAAGTCCGTTGACCACCTCAAAAAATATACAATTTCCAAAATATGCTGTGTTCCAATTTCAGCTCTAACAGGAATAAAAATTATTTTCTAGAAACAAAATACCAAGTTACCCTGATACTCTCATATGGGGTCTGGCAAACGCTGTAAAGAGCCAGGAAAAAAAGACTTTTGGGTTTGTGGGCCATAACAGTCACTGTAGCAACTATTCAACCTCACCACTGCAGCACACACACAGTCACAGAACAAATGGGCATGGACAGGTTCCAATAAATGACAGCATTCTTTATTAACAAGATTTACTGATAATGAGACCTAAAACTAGCAGAGAAACAGCAGGGTTAGAATCCCAAACACGATTAAACATGACATGATTAGTAACTTAATACAATTCTCTGCTAAGTATAAAGAGAAATAAATGAAAATATTGTAAAAATAATTTTACTAACAAAGCTCAAGATCTATGAAGACAGACCATTTATTGGTTTGTCATATTCCTTTGAGGATGACGGTGTGTTGGCATGCTTTCCAAATATGGGGAAATGATTCTTATGGTTGATTGATAAGACTTTTTAAAAAATAATATTTCTATAAACAGAATTCCTTTTATTAAAAGAAGGAAAACTTAAATCACTTACCTCTACAAAGCTATTTGTTATTAAATGCTGATACTTTAATTTAACTTTTGAATCTGTGATGAGGCGCCTGAAACCAAGAATAAGAATAGTTTATTAGAAATTTTTGGCCAACGGTGTTATCCATATTTATAACATTTCAAAAATTGTTTATGCTATGGCTTTAAAAACTGCCCACGTTGAATATATTGAAATGCACACAGACTATCAACAAATGTAACTGTACTAATCAAAACAATAATTTCAAAGTTTCTATAGTTTTATTTTGATAGACCTTTTCTCCATGTTTCTTATATTTTAAATAATCTACTTTTACCTAGTTTTTATTAGAGCCTGATGACTTATCAACTATTGCCAAGTTTGGGCCCATTTTGGAGCCTTCTGACTCTGATATTATGCCTTAACACAGCAATTCTCAGCCACCTTCCTTCAGACCCCCACCCAAATCAGTGTGTGAAATGAGACAGATGTTGCTGACAGAAGTGTTAAGGACTGGATCCAATTTTGTGATATCTAAAGCTTATATATTATATAATTTTGAGGGCCTTCTTCTTAGAGCTCTTAGCAACCTACAAGAAATCCTTACTGATTGTATCCTGGCTTCCTTTGTCCACCTAGAACATTAGGTGGACAATTCACAACAAATTCTAGCATTCATAGGAGCCCATGAAAGTGAGGAACGTTGAAGCTCAAGTTTCATTAGTTCTGTGGTAAACACCCCTCTGAGTGTGTTATAAGAAAATGATGTTGAAGCAAGAGGAAAAAAATAATCACTGACAAAGCCAGGAAGAATACTGAATATGTTGAATATGCACGTAGTTGAACCCCAATAAATTCTTTTAAATGAACAAGATAGTTTTGTTCGACCTAAACTCATCTAACTCTAGAGCTTCACATCCTACCTCTTTCCTTCCACAGGACCCCACTCTGTCCCATATCACTTTCAATGTACTCTTGTCACATCCATATTATTATATTTCCTCAAAAACAGAATATACCACCTTTCCTCAGAGGCTTCGCATAAGGCTGCCTCCCTTGGAAAGGAAAAAGAAACGGAATATCATGATGGGGCTCTGAAGTGGGATGGCCTAGGTTTGAATACTAGCTTCACAACTCACTAGCTATGAATTGAGGGTAAGTTCTTTGATCACTCCATAACTCAGGTTACTGATCTGTAAAATACATAGCAGAAAAAGAGTTGTGAGACTAGAACAGTGCCTGGCAAATAGTAAGCACTCAATAAATATTATATGCTATTAGTATTACTTCACTAAGTTAAAATATACTATTACTCACTCAAAGAAGCCTTTCCTGAGTTCCCACATTCTAGTTGTAGATCTCCTCTCAGTTCTTTCTCTTTCTTTCTTTTTTTTTTCTTAAAGAGACAGCATCTCACTATGTTGCCCAGGCTAGACTTAAACTCCTGGGCTAAAAAGATCTTCCTGCCTCAGCCTTCGGAGTGGCTAGGATTACAAGTGGGCTTCCTTCTTAGTTCACATGGCACCTTCAACATCTCCTTTATAGAATTTCTCATAATTTTAATTAGACAGTTATCTGTATTATCATTTAATATCTGTCTTCCTGTTCTCCTATCCCCAATCAAACAGTAAGCTCCATGAAAGGATCCCCTATGTCCAGCACAGTGCCTGGCCAGTATAAAGTGTTCAGTAAATATGTTTTAAATGAGAAAACCTCCAAATTTCACAGATGTTGGAACTGTGGTCTAAAAATAATTAGTGCATGTGGTGGTTCCTCAAGAAGTTAAGCATAGCATTACCATATGACACAGCAATTCCCCTCTGAGGTGTATACATACTCAAGAAAATTAAGGACAGGTGTTTAATCAAAAACTTGTACACAAATGTTCATATAACAACACAAATGTTTCCACAAAAAGTAAAAACATCCATATAATGAAACATTATTTAGCAATAAAAAGAAATGAAATACTAACTTATACTACATAATTCTTTTTCAAGAATAAATATTGAAAACATGAAAGTAAGTGGAAGAAAGTGAAGCCAGGCAGAAAAGGCCATATATCATATGATTCCATTTATGTAAAATGTCCAGAATAGGCAAATCCATACAGATAGAAACATGGTAAGTGCTTGCTAGGGTCTAAGGGAAGGAAAGAATTGGGAGTGACTGCTTAATGGATATGGGGTGATGAAAATATTCTGGAATTAGGTAGTGGTGATAGGTGCACAACATTATGCATGTACTTAAAAGCCACGGGGCCAGGCGCGGTGGCTCACGCCTGTAATCCTAGCACTCTGGGAGGCCGAGGCGGGAGGATTACTTGAGCTCAGGAGTTGGAGACCAGCCTGAGCAAAAGTGAGAATCCGTCTCTACTAAAAAAAAAAAAAAAAAAAGCCACTGGAGTATATATTTTAAAATATAATTGATTATTGAACAACCTGGGTTTGAACTGCACAGGTTTACTTATACACAGATTTTTTTTTAGCCAAACAGTCATCAAAAATATAATGTTCATGGGATGTGAAACTCACATACACAAAGGGCTGACTTTTCATGTATATGAGTTTCACAGGGCCAACTGTGGGACTTGAATGTGCACAGATTCTAGTACACTTAGAGTGGGGGTGTTAGAATCAATCTGCTACATATACTAAAGGATAGTAATTAAAATGGTAAATTTATATTAAATGAATTTTACATCAATTAAAAAATAAGGAAAGTATCAACCAAAGTCAGATGCCTTGATTCTTAACACACTGCCACACTACAAAACAAAATTTTTCCTGGGCCATAGTATTTTATTACAAAAATAAATAAAACTTCAAAAAAAAACAATCCTTTCGAATTTAATGAAAAATTTATTATTGTTATTGTTTTCTGTGTTTGAATTACTGTGTTTCTACGAAATAAGACATGCCCTAGCAGGATTTCTAAGCATTTGTGCAATATAAGCCCTAATCGAAAATAAGACCTACTGATGGGCGTGGCTATGCAGTGTATCTGCACAACCCATGCATTCCATTGCGGAGCGGTAAAGAAGAGGAGCAGCCCTTCTCATCTGCCCCTTGAGAGCTCTACTGCTTGAGAGATTGGGGCCAATGGTTCTAAAGGAAATAGAGTCGCAAGAAATTCAGGATGGAATTCGGGATTTGGAGAGTTATGATGATGTTCCAGAAGAAGACGACTTAACTATATTTGAATAAATGTAGATTGTTGTGCCATGCTTTAAAAAACCACATCCCCTGAAAATAAGCCCTAGGGTGTCTTCTTGAGGAAAAATAACTGTAAGAACCCATCTTATTTTCGGGGAAACACAGTATATGCAACTTGAAAAACAGTTCTTGCAGCTCGCAAGGTGAAGAGACATTGAGTTACATATGCTTCACAAGGCCCCGGCTCAAAACTAGAGGAGTTAAATCCAACTCATATGGCAGTTAATGTGTTAATAAACACATCTTAATTACACATCTATTACCCTAATGTTTCTCTGATATGACGAGCCTTAATGATTTCTTATAGCTGATACTAGCCTAAAGAGTTGTCTAAAGAGTTGTCTAAATCTGGCATGACCCAGCAGGGCTGGTGAGAGCAAAGGTTAGAGGTTATTAGGCCAAGGTTTCTACCTTATCAAGTGGGCCACATGTGGGTGTTTTTGCCTGTTTTTTTTTTTTTTTTTGAGACAGAGTCTCACTTTGTTGCCCAGGCTAGAGTGAGTGCCGTGGCGTCAGCCTGGCTCACAGCAACCTCAAACTCCTGGGCTCAAGTGATCCTCCTGCCTCAGCCTCCGAGTAGCTGGGACTACAGGCATGCGCCCACCATGCCCGGCTAATTTTTTCTATATATGTTAGTTGGCCAATTAATTTCTTTCTATTTATAGTAGAGACGGGGTCTCAATCTTGCTCAGGCTGGTTTCGAACTCCTGACTTTGAGCAATCCGCCGCCTCGGCCTCCCAGAGTGCTAGGATTATAGGCGTGAGCCACCATGCCCGGCCTGCCTGTTTTTTTACTTCAAAATAAGATATGTGCGGTGTGCATAGGAATTTGTTCATATTTTTTTTAAACTGTAGTCCGGCCCTCCAACAGTCTGAGGAACAGTGAACTGGACCCCTGTTTAAAAGTGTGAGGACCACTGGTTTATCTGATAATAGGGAAGTAAAAGAAAGTGACCTCCCATCCTTGAAAATAGGCACTCTCAAGAAGAAGGCAAGTGTCTTTTTGTCATTAATAAGCTAATTCTCTAGACAAAGACTTGTTGCCATCACTCAAGTTGAAAATAGTTATTATGCCAGGTCTCCTCGTGGAAGGCAGATCTCTAGGTAAGCAAAAGGACTTCTACTGAATACCAACTATATATGCTCGAGCACAGTGTCAGATGTATTAAATCACCCTTCAGTTTGGGGATAACACTCTGTTTAAACAACAAGATAACTAGAGAGCTGTGATTTGAAACCAGGTGATGTTAAACACAATGTTTTTGTTTTTTGGTTAATTAATGCCAACTGCTAAACCATACCTTTCACTTATATGGCACTCTGATAATTCAACATTATACTTCAATTTAAGACTAATAAAAATATTTAACTTTTTAAAAGGTTTTTGTTCTGACATACAAATTAGACAAACATAAAGAAGAAATAAAAACCACCTATAACTATCACTCAGGAGGAATAATCACTCAAAATTATTATGAACATGGATTTTGTGTAAATGACAATTTTATAGAACTTATTACATATAATTTGTACCTTAGTTTTTTTGGCTAACATATATAGGCACTTTCCAGTGTCATTAAATAATTCATGAACTAATTTAATTATTGTATTATATTCCATCTTCCTTTATGGTTGGGCATTTGTGCTATAGAATTATGATAATGTGATTAACATCTTTATAATAAACTTTTGCTCAAATTTCTGATTATAAAATTAATGTAATATTTATTGTCTCTCGAATTTAATCCCGATTAAATATCAAAATAATTTTGCAAGTCCTAGCACTCTGGGAGACCAAGGTGGGCGGATTATTTGAGCTCATGAGTTCAAGACTAGCCTGAGCAAGAGTGAGACCCCGTCACTACTAAAAAATCGA